GGCGCGCGTGTGGCTGGGTGTCCACTCTGCAGGTCTGTGATGCTCCCTGGGGCTCTGTGTGTGTAGTGTGTCAGCTGCTGACATCCTGCACACAAGGGACGTCCTCACGTGCGTCTGCGTGTAGGGATGGTCTGTATGCACGCACACGCATGTGTGCGAGCGCGCTTGTGTGTTACAGGGTGTCTCTGTTGCCGTTGCTGTGCGTTGGGTCTGTGATGAGAGGACAAGTGTGCGTTGTGGCCAGTAGTTGCTGCACAGTGCGTCTCCCGGTGTCTGTGGACGGCCTTGTGTGTGTGTATCGGGGGCTGCATGGCAGGGGAGGCGGACGGCGTGCGGGCTGGGGTTTCCGCGCCCGGGAGGGTGCACATGTTGTTAGTGGGTCAGGGTCAACCTCTCTCGGGAGGTTTGATTTACGTTCAGACCTGAATGTCAAGACAGGGCGAGCCATGCAGTTCCGGGCAGCGGGAATAGTAGGTGCAAAGGCCCTGCGGTCAGAACAAGCTCTGATGTGTCCACGCCGTTACAAGGAGGAGGCGCGTGCTCGCAGTGAAGTGAGGGGAGGAGATGAGGCTCGCGTGGTTGGCAGGGCCCGGCCGAGCAGGGCCTTGTTAAGTCACAGAGTTTGAGGTGTGTGAGCCAAGCGGGGAGCCTTGGAGAATTCTGTGAATTCGCTTGTTTAGCGTTTCTTCAAATTCCGTCCTGCCCAGGGCCGCTTTCCTAATCCTGCTTCTGGTCATTGTCAGCGGGGCAGAGACTGCCCAGTTCTTATCGCGTAAACGTCTGGAGCCCTTTCTCTGGAGCGGAGGCCTCGCTGGCGGGAAGAAGCAGGAGGCTGAGGGGCGTCGACAGTCCTTCTCTGTAGGACAGAGTGGGTATGTTTATGGCCCGGCGCTGGGTGGCCCTGGGCAGTGGCTTCCCCTCTCTGGGCCTCAGTTTTCTGGTTTGGGAAACAGGAAGGAAGAGGACTCCCACCACTGAGGATGGTGCTGAGGGCCAGTGTGGCCGGTCTGCACGCCTGGCACAGGCTGGGCTAGCCAGCTGTCACGGAGGGGCGCCCGCTGTGGCCTCGCGCTGCCCCAGCCACCGGGATGCCGCAGTAACTTCCAAATCGCCGCCCCTGCCTGTGCGAGCCACCAACTTAGCAGAGGGGACAGCAATAGACAGAGGAATAACTGTGTGATGCGTTAGGTGATGCTCAGGGCTCTGGAGGGAAGGGACTGGGCGCCAGGACGTGCCTGGCACTGGGCCAGGTGCTGCGCTGAGCAAGACCAGGCCGGGCCCTGCCTGTGGCGCACACTGCAGCTGTCACAAACGCGCTGCCAGTCCGCCGCAGGTCCTGCCACTTCCACCTTCAGAGCATGCCCAGAACTGCCCCCTCTGCACCCCCTCGAGGTCCTGTCCGCTTGTTTCCCACGGACCGTCACAGCCACCTCCTGCCTGGTCGCCCTGCTCTCACCCTGCCCCCCCACACACACACCACACTGTTAGGTACATGGGGACAGACAGACAGACACACACACACGCACACACACGGCAGCATCATTGCACTAGCGGATCTCTTCCACCTGGGCTGCTTGCCTGGGGCGGCGGGTGCTGGGTGGTACCATTTTCTTCTCACGTAAGATCGGAGGGTAGAACAGGAGGGTTGCAGGGTTAACTGGAAAATTTGAAGCTTTTGCTAACCCAGGTCAGGCGCTGCCTGTCCCACCTACTAGAGAATTCACAGCTTTTCAAAATCGAAATAAACATTTTCGAGTAGGGTGTAAACTGCCCGAATTCGTGGCATTAAGCGCCGGATGCCAGTCCCTGCTGCCAAGCATCACCCGCTGCCTCTGGGGCCCAGGCGTTTCTCCGGAAAAGCCCCCCAAGTGCTACCAGAGCCTGTGCGAGGCACTGAGCGGGGGTGAAGTCCAGCGGGTGCAGATGGAGTGGTCTGTTCGCCAGATGTTCGTCAGGTCCCTGCTATGGGCCGGCCACACAGGCATTGGGGTACAGGAGGCAACAAGACAGGCGACAGTCCCTGCCCCTGTGAAGCTGGCTTTCTAAGGGGAGAGGCAGACGCTAAAGCATTACACGCACACACAGTGGGTGTGGTAAATGCCATGAGGAAAGATAAAGCAGAGAAAGGGGTGTGGAGGGTGACAAGACAGGAGCAGGGACATTCGGGTACAGAGCACAGACCTTCGTGGGGGCAGCCAGGGCGGGGGCAGGCGTGTACTGATCAGCGAGAGGAGATCAGTTCCAGGTGGCTTGCAGCTGTGCAAAGGCCCTGAGGCGGGAACACGTCCAGGATTTGAGGAGCGTCAGGGAGGCCGAGGGGCTGGGGCAGTGGGAGGGGAGGAGGGCAGCGAGGTGACAGGGGGATCCTGCAGGGACTGTGGGCCATGGGGAGGAGTTTGGGGGGCCAGAAAAGGGTTAAGGATGCTGACTCTGGAATGGGTCAGATGTCTTCCAGACCAGCTCTGCTTGGTGAGCTCAGTGAGAGATCTTGCCTTGGTGAGCCGTTTCTGCACCTGTAAAATGGGTCGGCGCAGCCACCGCATGGAGGCTGCAGGGCGTCTCCGTGGGGTTGTGGGTCCCCTCGTGGTGGAAGTACTGGAGCTGAGCCTCAGTAAGCCACGCTTGGCAGCAGGGACTGGTTTTCAAACATCTTTGCTGCTGCAGGCCAGGTCACATGGGCCCAGGAGGGACTAGGGCAGGAGAGGAGGACGAGGTCTGGGTGTGGACAGAGGGGACAGGGAGAGAGGGACAGAGGCCACGGCCAGGTTCAGAGTGACCTCTCCCCACGTGGGTGTCCCGGACAAGGGCTTTCCCCTCCGTTTCCTGTCTGCGAAGTGGGGTGGTGAGCGCCAGTCTCAGGGGCGGCTGGTGGGGACAGAACGGGGTTAGCACAGAGCAGGGCGAGAGCCGCTAATCTCTGCGCGCAGCTGCTGTTAATTCCGGGAAGGAGGACGGGGATGGGGGTGGCGGCTCTGGGGGTTAGACAAGGCCTGGAGTATGATGCCCACTCTGCTGCACCCTGGCTGTGCCACCTGGGTAAATGGGATGCCCTCTCTGTGCCTCGGTCTTGTCTGTAACTTGGTGCTCATAACGACCCCTTCCCCCAGGGTCAGGTGTGCAGATTAAATGAGGGACTCTGGGTAAAGTGCTTAGAGGAGGAGTGGCACATAGTAGGTGCTCAGTGAGTGCTGGCTGTTATTGTGACAGTGACCGGCATGTACTGATCACTTGCCATGTGTGATTTGCCGTGCTGTGATCCCAACCTCCGCTCTCTGGGCCAGGCCATCAGTGCCCTGTGTGCTCTGTGACTCCTTGTGAAAACGCCAGGAAGCAGCTACTGTCATTGCCTTCTTTTAACAGAGCGGGAAACTGAGGCACAGAGCAGCGGAGTTGCTTGCCTTAGCTCCGTGCATTGAGCTCCCGGCATGGGTTGGTTCACCCCCACTTGACAGATACAGAAAGTGGGGTGTGAGTCCTGGGGCTGTCTGCTCCTAGGCTCTGGGCTGGCCTGGGAGCCCCATCCTTCTATGGCAGCTCCCTCCCTCCCTCCCAGGCCTGGCTCTGGCTCTGGCCTCTGTGAGCTTATGCTGGGCAGGGAGGGCCTGGCGGGGCTTGGAGCTGCCCGCAGGGCCAGGGTGGGGCTCCCACCCGCCTGGTCATTATAAACAGAGCCAGTTCCTCTGTTTGTCCTGCCCTCCACGCTGTGCCCAGAGGGAAGGGGTGGCCCCAGGCAAATATCCGGAGGTGTGTCCCTTGGCCCCTTCCCCTGCTGGGTCACACAGGGCTGCAGGGTGCAAGGTGTTTTGGGGGGTTTATGGTGAGGGCTGCAGCCTGTGGGATGGTGGGAGCCACACAGTCCGGGCTGTGTCCTGCCGTCCCCACCCACCTTGATCCTGCAGTCCTCCCACCGCGGGGTCTGCCCCTCCTCTCCTGGGTTGGTGGGGGCCACCTGGCTGACTGTTCCTACCCTGGGCTGCGGGAGCTGCCTGGCGCCCCCAGGCGGTGGGAGGAGGGGCTGGGTGGGCGGGGCAAAGTTCAAGGTGAGCAGCAGGGCTGGGTGTGGGGCCGAATGGGTGGACATCTGGAAAGACAGTGAGGCCACAGGACACGGGGGGCAGAGGTGGGGGACTGACCACCCTGGGAGCTGGACCTAGAGACACCCGGGAGATGGGGGCAGGGGGTAGGCCAGGGCCACCCAGCACAGAGGCTAGAAGGGAGGGCTGGGTGGTGCTCAGGGGCCGCATGACCCCGTTGAGGAGGGGCTGGGCAGAGGCAAAGGGGGCCCTTTCCTGCCAGGGCTGTCGCATCCCCCATCCAGAGCAAGTGGTAACCAGGGCCAGCTGGGGGAGCCCCGGCCAGGCCTGGCTCTGACCACCGGCTGGCCTCTTGGGACCAGTTGAGACAGGTTCGCTGCTGGGTCCCCACCCACCTCCCACTGGGCTCCCACTGCCAAACCGGTTCCCCTGGAAGGCTCCCCACTGATGGTCCTACCTCTGGGCCAGGGGTGGTGGCCTCACCTCCCAGCCGCTCCCACAGGAAAGGAGCCTGAGAAGCAGGCGCCAGGGGTGGCCACGTGGTCACAGACACACTGGGAACGTCTTCTCTTCTCGCTAGGTCCACGAGACCTACTGGGCTGGGTGCCAGGGCTGGGGAGCCCGCGGGAAAGGACAGAAACCACCCCACCCCCCACCTAGCGAGGCTCTCCTCATCTTTTGGCCTCAGCTCACACGGGCCCTCTCCTGGGACGCCTCCCCAGCCCGCAGTCCTCCGGGTGGGGTCTGGTGCCCCCCAGCCCCGACCACACTGGGCTCTCACTGTGTGGCCCAGTCTGTTTGTGCCACTTGAACACCCACGAGGTCAGAGGCTGTCTTGGTCCCTGCTGTGTCCTGGGCACCAGGCAGCACAGGGCTGGGCTCAGAGGAGGCCTGTTGGAGCGTTAGGGGTGAATAAATGAATGAGTGAGCGAGTAAGCGAATGGTTGCTTCCTTCCCATTTTACAGATGAGTAACCCGAAGACCAGAGAGAAGACGTCACCCGCCTGAGGGCACTTCTAGCCCAGCCAGCATCAGACCAGGTCTGTGTGACCCCAGGGCCCGCGTGTGGCTCGTGTCCACTCGCTTTGTCCTCACTGCAGCCCCGTGGGGGCTGGTCCACCGCACAGAGAGGCTGAGTCACTTGCCCAGGCCCACAGGTGACACATGGCAGAGAGACTGGGCTGGCCTTCCCATCATTTCACTGTCAGCGTGTCTCCCCTGAGGCTCCTTTGTTTTCTAACCCGGCTTTTATTGAGCATTTCCTCTGTGCCTGGTACTGTTGTAAGTGCCCGGCTGAAGACAGAGATCCTGGAGACAGGGGAGTGTCACCGTAGGGAACCTGGGCGTCCTGCTTGCGGCAGGGCTCGGGAGCCATCTGCTGAGAGAGTGGCCGAGGCGTGTGGTGTTCCCGGCGCAGACTCAGGCGGGGCGAGCTGGGGCGCCATCGCGGAGTTCACATGGTGCCGGCAATGGGTGGGACTCGGGGGAGCCGGGCGGATGAGACGTGGCCCGTGGCGCTGACGTTCTGGTGGTGGGGCGTGGGCACGGGTGGAGGGGTGGGACCTGGGGCCATTTGCCTTGGGGTGGCAGGAGAGGACTCACCGACAGCTCTGGGAGCTGCAGGAGGGCAGGAGGGAGCCACGCGGGCACTGGGGCCTCGCGTTCAGGCTGAGGGACGGCCCTGCAAAGGCCCCGCGGCATTGAGAGGGGAGGAGGGCAGAGAGGCGGCCGGGTGGACTGTGGGGACCTCGTGGCCAGAGGGAGTCAGAGCCGCAGGAAGGTTCTGGGCAGGGGAGGGATGTGACCCTACGTGGGTTCCACAGGCCCCTCCAGCTGGACGTGAGGCACAGACTGGGGCCGCCGTGGCGGCTGCCTCCCTTGGGTCCGGGTGGGAGACAGACGGATCGGCCCAGGGCAGGGGCAGAGGAGGGGAAGAAATGGGCAGGTTCCTGTCACCTGCCACTCACCCCGCTGGCGCCTTCCTCCCGCAGGCCTGGTAGGAGCCCGAGCCTCAGCCCTCGCGGCACTGAGGCCCCGGCGCCATGTTTGGGAAGAAGAAGAAGCGGGTGGAGATCTCGGCGCCGTCCAACTTCGAGCACCGCGTGCACACGGGCTTCGACCAGAACGAGCAGAAGTTCACGGGGCTGCCCCGCCAGTGGCAGAGCCTGATCGAGGAGTCGGCTCGGCGGCCCAAGCCGCTGGTGGACCCCGCCTGCATCACCTCCATCCAGCCCGGGGCCCCAAAGGTATGGCGCCACCCACCACGCTGACCCCCTGGGGTGGCCCCAGCCCTTAACCTCACACCTGACCCTGCAGCCCATACCTCCTCCTCCTCGATGACCCTAACAGGGACCCGCCACAACCCTCCACCCCCACCATGGGCCCGCACTGACCTTTCACCCACAGACCCCTCTGACTGTCCCCACACCAGCCTCCAGTCCTGCCTCTGCTGGAGCCTCACGCCCAGAGCTCCGTGCTCCTGTCCCCACACCTGTCCTGGGCCTTCCTAGAGCTCCTGTGGCAGTGAGTGGCATAGACCGTTCCCAGGCAGTGGCAGCCCCAAGTGGCCACAGCAGGGATGGGGGAGTCCAGAGGAGGCACCTGACCCGGACCAGGGGTCCAGGCAAGCTTCTCAGAGAGGGGACACCACGCTGAGCCTTGAGGGCCAGTGAGGAGGAGGGATCGTGGCAAATGCTGGGTCTCAGAGGAGGACATAGTGAGAAACAGTGGGGTTTTCTTCCTGCCATCTTGAGCAAAGTGGCAGGATGGGGATTTGAACTGAGGTCTGTTTTCAAGGCCCATGCTTTTAACTGCTGTTCTCCCTCCATGTGACATTATAAGTCATGGTCCCAGTGCCCAGGCATAGCCTGCAGCTAGGCTGGCCTGGTGGCAGGGTGAGCCCAGGGAGCCAGCCTTGGAGCGTGGACTTTATCCCAAGGGCATTGGGGACCAGGAAGGGCCAATGGCCAGGGCGAGCTCGGCCAGGTTTGCTCCAAGGGGGTGGAGACGGGAGTACTGGCGGGCAGCAGGCCAGCATGGGGCAGGCCCGCAGCTGAGCTGCCTCTTCCTCTCCCGTGCCAGCCCCAGCCTGGGAGGAGGAGGCCCGGGGTCAGCAAGTGACCACAGACACGAGTGCAGGGTCTTAATGTGGCACCCACTGACGTGTTCATTCAGCCCACACAGGGTGCTTTTGAATACCTTTTCCTCGACACTACGTAAAAAGCAAGGGACTTCACGTCCCAGTCTCTCTTTGGCTTCTTGTGCCAGACTCACTGGAGTCGGGGCAGCTGCCTTCCCAGGTGAGGCCCCGGCTCTTCCAGGCCCGTGGGCCCTGCCCAACCCGCCTCAGTTCCATGCCCGGCCTGGCTCGCCAGCCGGGCCTGCCTGTGGCTGTGCCCACCGGGAGGAAGGGGCTCCTGGCTTAAGTCACACAAAGGGCCCCTGTGGGCCAGCACTGTCCTGGGGCCTCGTGGGCACTTGTGCTTGCAGATCCTGGCTGGGAATCCCCCCAGTCCTGCCAGGGCCCGCTCGGCCCCTTATTCTAGCCTCGAAGTCTGGCCGCGTGTCTGCCTTGCTTTCCTGGGGACCCCGGCAAGGCCAGGCTTGGGCGGGTTTTGTGGGATCAGTGTTTTCTGCACCTTAGAGGAAGTCCCCAGGCTTCAGGCCGTCTGGCAGCCCTAGGCGCATGTCCCTGTCTGCCAGCGATTGACAGCAGTGGGACAGGGCTCCTGTCAGCAGGTGCCGTGTTCTCAGCTCACCGTGGCCTCTGCCCAGCCCCCCTCACTCCCCCCGCCACTGGTTCAGCACACGTTTACTGAGCACCTTCTGTGTGCCGCATGCTGGTCTGGGTGCTGAGACCAGAAACAGGAAACAGAAACAGAGACCACATGCAGGACCAGAAACAGGAAAACAGTTGCTGCCCTCAGGAACATTCCACCGGGCAGACTGGCACTGGGCAGATACATGCGTGCTTTCTGTTGGCTGGTGTTAGGTGCTCTGGAGGAAAAGGAAGCAGGGAAGGGGGCTAGGGAGTGTGAGGGGCTCGCATTTTAAACCCTGGGTGGTCAGCAAAAGCCCCTCTGAGAAGCTGAGTTTTGAGGAAGACCTGAAAGGGGGCCGTGGGCCCTGGGGAAGGTGTTCCCAGCAGAGGGACCAGCCAGTGCAAAGGCCCTGAGGCGGCAGCACGCCGGGTGTGTTGGAGCAGCAGCGAGGAGACCCGTGTGTCTGGGGCTTGGTTAGGGGCGGGGCCACGGCTGGGGGAGACAGGGTGGTGGCCATGGAGGGTGAGGACTGGGATGCACTCCCAGGATGCACTCGGCACACAGACCAGTCCCCATGTGCATTTGCATTCGCCACCCGGCTCCCGGGACCCTTGTGCCTGTACTGTAGGCCCAGGCCTTCCTGACTCTCCCTGTACCCCACCCTCGGCCTTCAGGGGGGCGGAGAGTGGTTTCAGGGTTGGGGAGGAAGTGCCCAGCGGCATCCTGTAATTCGCAGCTCTTGTGGGCAGGCTGGCTTCTGCCCTCCCTCCCCTCCACCCACGGGGCAGGAGTCTCCCCGCAGTCTGGGGAGCAGGACAAAAACAAAGGGGACACTTCCCAGAGTATTCCTTCACCCCCTACCCCCCTGCAGCTGAGTCCTTGGTTGGGGAGGGTCCTGCCCCACTCGCCCACCCCTCATCACCCCATGGCATTGCTTCATTCCGTCTCTGTCTTGTCTTCTGTGTGTGTTGTGTCGTCCTGTCCTGCGTGTCGGATGCACGTCCTGTGTCCCCCCGCTCCTTGCCCGGCCCCACCCCGACATTGCCCTGGACCCCAGACCATCGTGCGGGGCAGCAAAGGTGCCAAGGATGGGGCCCTCACGCTGCTGCTGGACGAGTTTGAGAACATGTCGGTGACACGCTCCAACTCCTTGCGGAGAGACAGCCCGCCGCCACCCACCCGTGCCCGCCAGGAAAACGGGATGCCGGAGGAACAGGCCGCCACGGCCAGAGGGGGCCCGGGGAAGGCGGGCGGCCGAGGCCGGGTCGCCGGTCACAGCGAGGCGGGTGGCAGCAGTGGTGACAGGCGGCGGGTCGGGCCGGAGAAGAGGCCCAAGTCTTCCAGGGAGGGCTCAGGGGGACCCCAGGAGTCCTCCCGGGACAAACGCCCCCTCTCCGGGCCTGACGTTGGCACCCCCCAGCCTGCCAATCTGGCCGGCGGGGCGAAACTGGCGGCCGGCCGGCCCTTTAACACGTACCCGAGGGCCGATACGGACCACCCGTCCCGGGGTGCCCAGGTAACCCACCCCCCCAGGATCCCCCACTGTCCTCTGCCTGTCACTTCCCTTGTTCCCACACCCCAGCCCCAGCCCCCTGTACATCTCATCCTGACCACCCATGTGTCTGTCCCACGCTGGGCCTCTCTTGCTCAGGGAGCAGAGCTGGCCCCTGGCGCCCCTCTGACAGCACCTCTCTTCTCTTCCAGGGTGAGCCTCGAGAAATGGCCCCCAATGGGCCATCAGCGGGGGGCCTGCCCGTCCCCCAGTCCTCCTCCCGGCCTCCCACCCGCACCCGCGGCCCCCCCGGCCCTGGAGTGCTGGGCCCCCATGCCTCCGAGCCCCAGCTGGCCCCTCCAGCCCGCACCCCGGCCGCCCCCGCTGCCCCTGGGCCGCCCGGTCCCCGCTCGCCACAGCGCGAACCGCAGCGAGTGTCGCACGAGCAGTTCCGGGCTGCTCTGCAGCTGGTGGTGGACCCAGGTGACCCTCGCTCCTACCTGGACAACTTCATCAAGATCGGCGAGGGCTCCACTGGCATCGTGTGCATTGCCACCATCCGCAGCTCGGGCAAGCTGGTGGCCGTCAAGAAGATGGACCTGCGCAAGCAGCAGAGGCGAGAGCTGCTCTTCAACGAGGTGGGAGGCGGGCCCCGGTGGGTGGGTGGGGAGGAGGCCCTGAGTCTGGGGTGTCCCGGGCTGGGTCCTGGGCCCGGCTCCTTCCCTCAGTCCTCACACCCTCCCCAGGCCGTCTCTGTCCCCAGCTGAAGGTCCTAACAATACCCACACCCACATCCCTACCCCATTCTTCCCCTGCGCCCTACCCCCTGACCTTCCCCTGCGCCCCAGACCCAGGGTCCCTCGGTCTATTGAACCCCTCCCATTGTCCTCCAGGCCCCTCCCACCGTCGAGTCCCCGCTGGCCTCAGGGGACCATGTCTCCACCCCTGCTGCTCCTCAGGTCCCTGTCTCCCTGTGCCTCCACCTCCTTCCACCACCCTGTGCGGTCCGTCTGATCCGCTGGGGGCCTTGCCCAGCCTGCCCTCTTGGTTGTCCCCTTGGCACTCCTCCCACAACAGCCAAAGGGCTCTCCTTGCCACCTGGGCCTGCCACGCCGGCCCTTCTTGTCTGGCGTCCATCTAGGCACTTGCTTTTGTTCAACTTCCGGTTTTGGCTCTGGGTGGCCTCTTTGCCAAGGAACTTGTTACAGGCAGACTCCTGGCTTCTTCCCCAGGAGGCATCTCTGTAAGCAGCCCTGTCCCCTCCTGCTGCAGGAGTGCCCAGGGGACAGCAGGCCTGGGGGCTGTCCAGGCGCCAGCCCTGCCTCCCTGTCCCTCATCTCAGCACTTCCTCTACCGACCGTGTAGCCGGTCGCGGCCCCGCCAAACTGCGGTGCTCCTGCTGCACCTGAACTTCTAACCCGGAGTTCTGCAGCCTCCTACACACGCACCTATCTTTCAACCTTGGCTTGCTGTCCTCGTCTCAGCCCTGCACTTAGACACCCTCCCCCCCTCCCTCTGCCAGCACCAGCCTCATCTTCAGGGCTACTCAGAAACCACCCCAGGACTGGGCCGAGATTGGAGGGTCCAGGGGGTGGGGGGCACCCCCAGGAGGGCGGCAGGCCTCACACCCTGCTTGGCTTTGGTAGGGGTGGTGGGCCATCCAGGTGACGCTGATGAGCGAAAGTGAGAGGTGGGACCGGGCAGGCGGGCTGCAGGGGCGTGGCTGTGGCTCGGTCTGAGGGCGGGGCGTGGCGCTGACCCGGCCCCTGCAGGTGGTGATCATGCGGGACTACCAGCACGAGAACGTGGTGGAGATGTACAACAGCTACCTGGTGGGGGACGAGCTCTGGGTGGTGATGGAGTTCCTGGAAGGAGGTGCCCTCACTGACATCGTCACCCACACCAGGTACCTCGGGGAAGCTGGACCCTCCCCAGAGTGGACTAAGTCCCCTCCAGGCTACTTGGGGTGGCGCCGTGTCTGCTTAGAGCCACCTTGCTATCCCCCGGGATTGGTCACGTCTTCTTAGATTCCTACCCCCTAAGAAAGGTCTGTGTGTCCTGCCCCCACCCACGACTCTCCAGAGTGGGGTCATGTCATCTCAGATTCCCCCTACCCAGGGCAGGGCTTGCGTCCCTCTCAGACCCTGGGGTGCCGTCCGCCCAGCTGTACTCCGTGCCTCCACACCCGCTCACCCCGTGCCCCCACGCAGGATGAACGAGGAGCAGATCGCCGCCGTGTGCCTGGCCGTGCTGCAGGCCCTGTCTGTGCTCCACGCCCAGGGCGTCATCCACCGGGACATCAAGAGCGACTCCATCCTGCTGACCCACGATGGCAGGGTGAGGAGGCGGGTGACTCTCCCCTCTCCCCAGGCTCCCGTGTTAGGGTGCAGGCTCCGCTCCCCAGTTCGGTGGCAGTGCTCGGGGGAGCAGCGAGTGTATCTGTCCTCACGGAACAGTATCCAGAGTGGGGGGTCCAGGTCGCTGGGGGGCTCTGTGCAGTGGGAGGGGCGGGCTGGCGGGGCTCTGCTGTCAGCTCAGGACGCTGGGAGCTGTAGTGCAGCCCTGGGCCCAGCGGGGACAGGTTTGGGCAGGCAGACACAGCTGTCAGCCACACTTCTCCCTCCGCTGAAGGCCGGCCGCTGGCCCAGCGCCCAAGTGGGTCTCCGACGCCGGTCCTCACTCATATTCTGGACCGAGGGTGTGAATCTGGGGACCTGGTTGTTGCGGAGGTGGGCAGTGTCCCTCCCATGCTCCCGGGGCAGGCAGTGGTGAGCCGGAACTCGCTTCCTTCAGGGAAGCAGGGTGGGGTGTGGGCTTTCCCAGCCGTTGGTCCCTGCAGGACTTTAGGACTCGGGCCACTTCCCATAAGAACTGCAGGGCAGCTGGTGGCTCCTTGCAGAGCCTGCGAGGAGGGCACATGATGGGATCTGGGGAGGTGACATGCCTGAGGGCCCTGCAGGGATGTGGGGGAGCTCCAGCCGTCTGGCTGCAGAGCCCAGCTCTAAGCCCGGGGCTGCACATCGTGGCTAAAGCCAAGGGGTTAAATAGGTGGGCGCCTCTGCGCGCCCGCGCCCGGGCCAGCACCTCTGACCCGCCGCCTCTGCCCTGCCGCAGGTGAAGCTGTCAGACTTCGGCTTCTGCGCCCAGGTGAGCAAGGAGGTGCCACGGAGGAAGTCGCTGGTCGGCACGCCATACTGGATGGCCCCGGAGCTCATCTCCCGGCTTCCCTACGGGCCTGAGGTGAGCCCAGCGGTGGTCCCATCCCGCTATCAGCATAGGTTCACGCCGTGGTGGCCCAGAACAGCCGCGTGCTGGGGGTGCGGCCGGCTCCGTCCGGGGAACGGTCGCCGGGGATGGTTTCGTGGAAGAGGATGCGGCACACACGCATTGGTTCATTCCTTCCGTCCTGATTGAATTCTCATTCTGGGTAGGGCAAATGATTGGCAGGAGGGACAAAATACTGAGCAGAAGTGGCCACGGGCCCTGCTGTCAGCTGGGTGCAGAGGCCACAGACTGGCAGGCTTCGGGCTGGCTCGGCCTAAAGATGCCTTTGCAAACATTTTAAAATGAGACTCACATGTAGAAGTCCGAATTTCCGTCTTCTATTGCAAAGCCAGATCTGGCCACATGGAGGCCAGGTTCCCACGTGGCCGCAGTGGCGGGAGAGGGGCTGCTCCTCTGCAGACGGGGCGGTGCCTCTGTCCCGGCCCAGTCCCCACCCAGCCCCGCTGCCCCCTCCGAGGCCTGTGAGCTACGGCCCGTGGCCCTGAGCGTCCCTCCACCGCTCGGTCAGCCTTGCCCCCGGCCACAAGAAAGGCCCCCCGGGAGCACGTCATGGGCGACCTCAGGCTGGAACCAGGTCACACTGGGGAGGGAGGCCGCTGTGAGAATGCGAGGGGACACCTCAGTCAGGACTGCCTGTGAGGGACAGAGACCCACCTCAAACGGATTCAGCAACACAGGAAAACCAGTCCCCAGCAGGGTGGCGTTCGGGATGGACAGGCTGCAGGCACCGTCGTCCACGTCTCTTTCTGTCAGTGTCGTCTGCGGTCGGGCAGGCGCTCGCTCCCCTCGTGGGGGCAGAGACGACCTGGCAGCTCTGGAAGCTTCTCTGCCTCTGCGCTGCCCCAGCTCCACCGCGTCCCTGGGTATTTTGGGGGCAGTTCCCTGGTTGACTCTGATTGGCTCGGCTTGGGTCACGTGCCCGTTCCTGGGCTGATCCTGTGTCCCGTCTGCTGCTGAGGCCACCTGGGTCCCAGACCCACTGCCGGTGCTGCACGACCACCTGACGGGTGGGGGGCTCTCACCAGAAGCAGCAGCTGTGGGGTTGGCAGAAGGAAGAGGGTGGGAGTTGGGTGGGCGACAGCCTTCGGGGCCTTCCTGGAGGAGGAGAGCGTGGGGTCTGGCTCGCTGGGGGTCCGAGGGAGTGTTCTGGGCCGAGGGACTCCAGAAGCAGAGGCAAAGGCAGAGCAGGGGCCCCTCTCCCTGGCTTCCCCCAGGACGGGCCGTCCTTCCCACCCAGCCCTGCCGTCCCTCCCGCCCCCCAGGTGGACATCTGGTCGCTGGGCGTCATGGTGATCGAGATGGTGGATGGGGAGCCTCCCTACTTCAACGAGCCGCCCCTCAAAGCCATGAAGATGATTCGGGACAACCTGCCACCCCGACTGAAGAACCTGCACAAGGTGGGCCCCGCCCTCGGGGAGGCAGTGCTCCGGCAGCGGGCACCAGGCAGAGCGCGGGTGTGGCCGACACTGTCGCCCGATGGGCCGGGTGGTGCTGGGCTCCCCCCACTGCCAGGCCTCAAGTGTCTGCAGACAGGCTTATGTGGGGACCGAGCAGCAGAGACGGCAGCGCTCTCGGGTCCCTGTGCCCTGGCCACCCACAGAGGCTGTGCTGAGCTTGGCCTGGCTGGTGGCTGAACACGCTCGTAGCCAGGCCCTGGGCCCTGCCCCGCCGCAGACAGGTCTGGGCGGAACACCCTCCTGATCTGCCTGCTCCCTCCAAACCACGAGAACGGGGAGGAAATGAAACCCGGGGCCTTTGGGTCTGTCACCAGCCCCGGAGCCAAGCTCTAGACACCCGAGCTCTTTGCCCCCGGCCCGGGCAGCAGGCGCCCGCGGCCCATCGGATGGACAAGGAAATGGCGGCCCCACGGCGAGTGACAAGTGAGGCTGGTACTCAGGCCAGTGCCAGGGTCCCGCTGACCTCCCCCTGTCTCCCCACAGGTGTCACCCTCCCTGAAGGGCTTCCTGGACCGCCTGCTGGTCCGCGACCCGGCGCAGCGGGCCACGGCGGCCGAGCTGCTGAAGCACCCGTTCCTGGCCAAGGCGGGGCCGCCCGCCAGCATCGTGCCGCTCATGCGCCAGAACCGCACCAGATGAGGCCGGCGCCCCGAACCAAAGAGCCCCTCGGGTCGCCCCAGCCCTGCCAAGGCCAGTAGGGGGCCAGCCCCCGCCCCTCCCCGCCCGGGAGACACTCCACAGGGCACCACCCTCTTTGCTGGGGGGGCACATGGGACCCTACTACTGAACTCTGGTTTTGATTTTACGACTTTTGAAAAATCACAGTGACTCATGGGAGTAAGTGAGATTCCCAGGACCTCCCTCCCCTCCGGGACAGGCCCCTCTGTGCCCTTCTGTCTCCAGGAAGGACAGGCGGCCCTCCCATCACTGGAAGTCTGCAGCGGGGGGGTGCTGGGGCGGAGAGAACACTATGAAAGAGGTGCGTGTGTGTGCGTGCGAGTGTGTGTGCGTGCGTGTGCCTGCACGCTGAGGGTCCAGTTGCTCTGTCCTCCAGCCTGCAAGTCGGTGTCCCTGACACCTTGCCTGACATCCAGCCCCCTCCCCCTGAGCCATTGTGGGGGTCGATCATGAATGTCCGAAGAGTGGCCTTTGCCCGTAGCCTGCTCACCTCTCTGGACGGGAGACGGGTTGGGGCCCCCGCCCACCCCAGCCTCTGCAGCAAATGACTACTGCACCTGGACAGCCTCCTCTTTTCTAGAAGTCTATTTATATTGTCATTTTATAACACTCAAGCCCCTGCCCCCACCTGGGGACAGCTGGCCCCTGCCCTCCGGGTGGCACCGGAGACAGAACTACTGCCTGAAGGATCAGGTGCCCGCACGGTCAGCGCAGCCCCGCCCGCCCGCCTCGAGTTAGTTTTACAATTAAAACATTGTCTTGTTTTGCGTGTGTGCTGTGTGGGGCCTGCCTGGCCATCTTGGGGGGCGCTGGCGGGGAGAGAGGCCTGGCTGCCCCCGGCGTCTGGGCGAGGCGGGGTCAGGGCAGGGGCAGGCGGGTGGGGGTTCCTGGTCCCAGCGGCCGGTAACGGCTCACCCCTCTCCCTGGGGGCAGGTCGGGCCCCGCCCTGGAAGCCAGCAGCGTGCCAGAGTCCATGAGCCATGGCAACCGGTTCACCAAATCGGTGCTTTCCTGGAAACTTAAAGGTGGCCTTGAGCGTGTTTGGCGGGTAGGAAGGGACCCTTGAAAATGACATTAGTGAATTGGCCATTTGGCAGATTGGTCCGATGGCAGATGGGCTTTGGGGGGATTGACTGAGGCCGGTGGACTGGCAGCTGCCACTTAGAGACACTGCCGAGCCCAGGTGCCTGGGGACGCAGCGAGGGGCACAGCCACGGAGGAGGAATCCTGCTGACACGAGGTGACGCCACCACCATGTCAGCGTCCCAGAGACATCCTGCCGCTCAGGCCCTGCCGGGCTGCACTTCCTGGCCCTCCCAGCACCCAGGGGTGGGCGGAGGCGGCGGCGGCCTGCTGAGGTGCAGGTGGGAGGATGAGGAGTGGGCCTCCGTCCCCAGCGCCGCCCGGTGTCACTGGCACAGACAGCAGCCGGGCCCGTTGGTGGGCAGCACGTGGTGAGGGCGGAGATTCTGGGTCGGCCCAGGCCCGCCGCCCTCCCCGCTCCCGGGACCCCTGCCCCACACGGGTCCTGACCCCCAGGAGTGCGGGCGCTGTGACCGGCAGGGCCTGGGCCTGGCGCACACGTGACCTGCAGGGACCGTCACAGACTTAAACAGAGCAGCGCAGGCCGCTCTCGCTCCACGGGAACGCGTCTTGAGGCCGAGGTGACGTGGGCACATTGCTGGGAAAAAATATGCCCAAGTTGGCAGAAAAACATACAGAAAACAAGAGGAGACCAAGATAACACACCCCCCTACACACACCCAAAAATAAAACGCCTCAGGCTTGAACACTGAGAAATGGGATCTACCAGACGCAAGGCGCAGGTCGTGCCCACCTGGTGCAAGTTGTTCCAGAAAGGACGGCCCAGGGCATTCTAAGAGGGCGAGGTTCCCAAACCAGATAAGGGCGGTGAAGACCGCAGCGTCACGGACACGCCGGCTCCGGGCACCCCACGGGCACTGAGCACAGCTCTAGGAGGCGCCCCCTTGCCAGGCGAAGAAACGCCTGAAGAAGGAAAGTCACTGCCCAGGTCATGTCTGCCTGACACCCACAGTGTCTCTGCTGGTTTGGGCGCCTTAGGTCACTCTGTGTGGGTTTTTTTTGTTTGTTTTTTAAGACAGTCTCACTTTGTTGTCCAGGCTAGAGTGAGTGCCGTGGCGTCAGCCCAGCTCACAGCAGCCTCAAACTCCTGGGCTCAAGCGATCCTCCTGCCTCAGCCTCCTGAGTAGCTGGGGACTACAGGCATGTGCCACCATGCCTGGCTAGTTTTTTCTATATACATTAGTTGGCCAATTAATTTCTTTCTATTTATAGTAGAGACAGGGGTCTCGCTCTTGCTCAGGCTGGTTTCAAACTCCTGACCTCGGGCAGTCCGCCCACCTCGGCCTCCCAGAGTGCTAGGATTATAGGCGTGAGCCCCCGCGCCCGGCCTCTCAGTGTGGTTTAAAGGGCTGGCTTTGGGTGTCATAGTGGCTGCTCCTCCAGGCCCCAGCCCTCCCCCACACTGCCTACCGCCGTTGCCTGTGCAGAAGGGGTTCCCCCGGGAGCAGACAGTGGCAGGGCGGGAAAACAGGCCCCTCTAGTTGTTCCAGATGGGGGAGGTGACAGATTTGACACAGGCGGCTGGTTAGTTAAAAGCCAGGTACCCAGCAGCGATCATTAAAGGCGCCAGAGCAGAATGGCGTCTTCCAGCTTCCTGCCCTGCACTGTCACTGCAGGCAGAGCCTCGACCCTGGTGGCTTGGGAGTCTGCAGAGCCGGTTTTCAGGCGGAGCAGGGGAGTGAGTGTGGGCTAGGCGCAGCCGAGTGGCGCTGGAGGACTCGCTCTGTTCAAATGTAATCGACCAGACTCGCGCTCCACGGGAAGGAATGAGAACTCAGAGGGACAGGAGGTGGTGTGGGTGACAGACCCACAGGCTGGGAGGGAGAGCCAGGGATGTGTTGGCCTGTAGGCTGGCGGTGCTGGGGTCACAGTGGGTGATTTAAACAGGTCAGAACGGTGGCTTCCAGAGTGCGATTCCCAGCCCAGCCCAGCCCAGCAGCACGTGGGAGCTTGGCGTGTGAATTCCTGGGCCCCACGCCTGGCTGAATCAGACACCGGTGGGGCCCAGCAATCTGCATTTCAGCAAGCCCCCTAGGGCATTCTGATGCCTGCTCAGGCTTGGGAACCCCTGAGATCCACAGGGGCCCTCGTGCGTGCGACTCGTGCCTGGCCCTCTCGAGTCATCAGCGTCCCGGGTCCTTCCATCCATCTCTCCTTCCTTCATCCGGTCACACCAAGAGGGGCTCGGGGAGAGGAGGGCGCTCCCTCCGGGGGACCTGACCCCGAGGTTTCGCCATGACTCGCTGGCCAGAGCTGAGTCACGCAGCCGCACCCGCGGCAGGGGAGGTTGGGAAACGGAGTCTCTATTCGGGGCGGCCGTGTGTCTAACGCCAGACTCCAGTCGTGATTCTCCACCCCTGCTGTTCGCTGCACTTGCGCGGCTTCCCTGGAAATTCTGATTTAATGACAGAACAGAGAGCCCAGAAGCAGACGCAGATGTGTGCGGGAGCTTCGCACGCGCTAAGGACAGGAGGAAAGAGATTGTTTAATAATAGTGCTGGCGGAATTGGCTCATTTATGGAGAAAACACTAAATCCCTACTGAATGCCACAGCAGGAAGGAAGCCTAGATTTCTGCTGTCCGGCACAGTGGTCGCTAGCCGCGTGTGGATATTTGATTTTAAATTGAAGTGAAGTAAAATTAAGCATATGGTCCCTCGGTTGCACTAGCCACATTTCGTACGCTCGGTTGCCACACGTGGTCAGAGGCTGCTGATTGGACAGCACGTGGTCAGAGGCTGCTGATTGGACAGCACAGATACTGAACTTGCCATTGTCCCAGTTCTGTTGGACACTGCTTCTCTAGATGGGTAAAGATCTAGCTGTGCAAGGTGAAGTGTAAAGTTGATGACATGAGGACCAAGAAGGACTCTAAACAAATCTCCAAAGGAACACATTGTAACGAAAACATAAAGGTGGTCATACTGAAATCATTAATTTTTCTTTGTAAATAGGTTTCAGAATGGGAGAACATATTTGCAAAGTCTAATACCGACAAGACTTTTTTTTGCGATAGGGTCTCACTCTATCTCCCAGGCTAGAGTGCAGTGACATCATCGTAGCTCACACCAACCTCAAACTCCTGGGCTCAAGCGATCCTCCTGCCTCAGCCTCCCGAGTAGCTGGGATTACAGGCACACAGCACCCCACTCTGCTAATTTTTCTATTTTTTTTATAAAGACAGGTCTCCCTTTTGGTCAGGCTGGTCTCAAACTCCTGGCCTCAAGCGATCCTCCTGCCTCGGCCTCCCAGAGTGCTAGGATTACAGGCGTAATCCACACCCAGCCACCACACCCAGCCAAGACAGTTTAACAAGAAAAAGAGAGCAACCCTAACAGGAAAGTGGGCAAAGGACATGAACAGGCAACTTAGAGGAGAAAGAACCCAAAGGCTAATAAGGGTATCACAGTTGCTGAGACTCATTAGTGGGCAGGACAGATCCCACCCAGGCCTCGCCTGGTCCAGGAGTCTCAGACTCAAATGCCCCCGAGGCTAGGCAGGCGACATCGGTTAATAGAAGCGGATGAGTACCGCTCTGTAGTGTGGCGCACCCAGCCCTTTGAAGGGCCGTCTCTTTGCATTTGACTATGCACCAATATTAGCAAAACGTGCACCTCCTCGTGCATCTTGCTTTTTCCCGCCTAACGACGTACATCTTGGTAGTTGCTCCCTGTAGGTGCATGAAAAGCAAGCTCGGTCCTGCTGACGGCTGGGTAGTATTCCGTTGGGATAAGCCACGACTCATCGGAACAGCCACTGTCTGGGGAGCTCGCGGTGGCTTGCGGTTCTAAATGATGCTACCGAGAGCTCTTGCGCGCGCCTTGAGATTGGCACACGGGCGGGTTTGTCTAGTGCACCTGCGCGTCCCTGCTCCCTCAAGCACCCCTGGGCTCCCACCTACCCTCTGCCCTAGGCCATGCCTGCCGGGTATCTCTGGCCCTCCCTGGATCCTTCTCTGGCTCTGGCCAGTCCCAGCCCCGTCTCTCTGAGTCCCTCTCGCTTTCTGTCTCTAAGCCTCAGCCTCTGTCTCTCTGCCTCTCTGTTTTCTCTGTTTATCTCTTTGCTTTCTCGGTCTCTGTCTTTATCTTTGTCTCCGAATCCCTCCCTCCCTGCTCTCTGCCGCTCTCCCACCTGCCCCCTTCTGCCCTGCTTCATTCCTGCCTCTCTGTCGCCCCCTGCAGGGAGCAGCTGGCTCACCGCCCCTCCAGCTCGCAAACCCCTGGTTCACATGTGGGGCGGGCGGCACCCAAGCCAGCCCGCCTTTCTCCCACCCGCAGCCCCTCCTGGCCTGGCCGCACTCCCCCCCCTGCCTCCTGGCCTGGCCGCACTCCCCCCCTGCAGCGCTGGTGGAGAACCCCGGGTCTGCTCCCCCGAGCCCCAGATGCCCCCCTGCAGGACGCCTGCCCTTCTGTGTCCACCAGCAGGCTTGGGTCCTGGGATGCGCCGGCTCCCGGGAGTGACACTGGTTTTGCAGCAGGAGCTGCAGAAGGTTGGACGTGGTGCCCCCACGAGACAGAGCCTCTTCCTGCTGCCACGGGGCCTGGCCTTCTCGCCCTCCCTGCCCGGCAAGCAGAGCAACAGTCCGTGTCAGCCCCGAGCGGGGACAGACAATAAACAGACCTACCCAGGCCCCGCCCCGGTGCGGCTGACACTCCACACAGGGCGACGGCTACGCCCAGGCGGGCCTGTTCCACGCACTCGGCTGGATTTACAAATCACACCAGGCTCAAGAAGGAAGGAGCAGGGTGTGGCCACAGAGACTGGCAGGGGCGGGAAACTACCTGGCCTGGGGAGGGCCCAGGTCGCTCTCTGTGTCCCGAGAGAGAACAATCACCAAGCTGTGTTGTCAGGGAGGAAAGCAAGACGGGTGTGTGTGCCGGGAGGAGGCGACACCTGAGTGGAGAGGAAGGCAGCCTCGGAGAGCAGACCGGGGCCTCGCGGGCGGGGGGAGCGTGTGCAAAGGCCCTGAGGTGGGGAGGAAGTCGGAGGCTCCAGGACCAGCAAAAGCACGGGCAGAGTGCGGTGTGGCCCCTCGGGCAGGAGTCAGAGGGAAGCAGGGCTAACTCCAGGGGGAAACTGAGGCTCAGAGAAGCAAAATCCTTTGCCAGGGACACATGGGGATACGTTGGGGACTGTTAGTGGGGTAGTGGGGCAGCCTCACACGCTTAACCATCAGGACAGTGGTTATTTATTTATTTATTTATTTTTGAGACACAGTCTCACTCTGTTGCCCAGGCTAGAGTGAGTGCCATGGTGTCAGCCTAGCTCACAGCAACCTCAAACTCCTGGCTCAAGCGATCCTCCTGCCTCAGCCTCCCGAGTAGCTGGGACTACAGGCATGCGCCACCATGCCCGGCTGATTTTTTCTCTATACATTAGTTGGCCAATTAATTTCTTTCTATTTATGGTAGAGACGGGGTCTCGTTCTTGCTCAGGCTGGTTTCGAACTCCTGACCTTGAGTGGTCCACCCGCCTCGGCCTCCCAGAGTGCCAGGATTACAGGCGTGAGCCACCGATCCGGGCCAGGGCAGTGGTTCCTGATGTGGGGCCCAGCCCAGTGGCATCAGCATCACCATGGGGGTGGGGGTGGGGTTGTTAGAAATGCAGATTTTCAGGCCACCCCGCCCCCAGCTATGGAATCAGAAATTCAGGGGCCAAGAGTTGGGGGGTCCAGCAGTCTGTGTTTAAGGCTGCAGAGGACTCGGGCACACGCTGACACGTGACACCCACCACCGAGCTAGGCTCTCCCGTCTCCCCAAGGCGTGTCCCTACCCTCGGAAGGGCCCCATCCGCAGTGCACTGGACAGCGGCCCCCCCAAAAGATACATTCCCACCCAAATCCCCAGAACCTGTAAGTGCTACTTTTACTTGGAAAAAGTGTGTTTGCAGATATGATTAAGTTAGGGACCCTGAGCTGAGGACATCACCCTAGATCATCTGGGTGGACTCTGAGTTCAATGACAAGTGTCCCCGGCCCGTCTCCGGCTCCATCCTATCTTCTTCCCGAGAGCGCTGCGTCTCGCCATGAGCCGGGTTTGGAGCTCTGGGAAGTGGCGAGAGGCGGAGCGGTATTGAGGGGGATTGGGACCAACTCACAGGTGACTCGGAAACTGGGCTGAAAACTAGAACCTGCTCCGAGACTTCTCGGAGCCACGCAGTGTTTTCAGAAGAGGGAGGCCGAGGTGGGAGGATCACTTGAGGTCAGGAGTTCGAGACCAGCCTGAGCAAGAGCGAGACACCGTCTCTACCAAAACTAGAAAAATTAGCCAGGCATGGTGGCATGTGCCTGTAATCCCAGTTACTGGGGAGGCTGAGGCAGGAGGATCGCTTGAGCCCAGGATTTGAGGCTGCAGCGAGCTATGATGACGCCACGGAACTCTAGCCTGGGCAACACAGCAAGACCCTGTCTCAAAATAAATAAATAAATACAATAATGCCAACGGGAGGGAACAGGCCATGGAGGCAGGAACCAGGAACCCAGGGCATTGAATGCTGGTGAGAGAGCTGGGATTTTCTCCTGAGGGAGGGCACTGGGGAGCCATGGAAGGTTTAGGTGGGAGAGTAACTGGTTGGGTTTGGGCTTTAGTACCACCCCTCTGGCTGTTGTGTGTGTGGGGGGGGTGGAGGTGTGGAACTTATGTGGGTGAGACACCCACAAAACCACGGCCAGGTAGGTGGCAGCGAAGGACAGTGTCACGCCCCCCCATCCCCCACCGGCAGCCTGCTGTCCGCCCTCCTTCCTGCTCTCCTCTGGCTCCTCCCGGCCACACCCTGCCCTGGATTCTGTGCCGTGGGGCTACGCCTCTTGCATGCATGAGTTGGTTTGCCACTTCCCAAGGGTCCCCCTGTCCCCATGGCCATGGCTCAGCCCCGACTGGCCTTGGTCCCCTGGTCTGGAGTGGAGATGCCATTACCTGCTCCCACCTCTGCAGGGCTGTGAGGGTTGATGAGTTCCAGACAGACCTTCGTTAAATGTATCCGCCAGCTCCTGTCTGCGGCGTGAGTCAGTCAGTCTTCCCGGGGACGATTTTAATCTGTGTCCCTGAGTATCTTCCCCGAGACTACGTGTGTGACTATGTCCCACTCGCCATGAGCCGGCTGTGCAACCTTGGGTGAGTTGCTAGACCTCTCTGTTTCCTCATCTGCAAAATGGGCACGACAATGGTGTCTACTTCCTAGGGTGGACGTGGAGATGGAATTAATCACTCTGCTTAATGGACTTAGCAAAACACCTGGCACGCAGGCAGCCCTCAATTACCTGAGCATTGTCACGGAGTGTCTGAGCGTGTGGGGGCAGGAAGTGCCCCTGGGAGCTTGTGGGGTTATCTGGGACAGAATGGGATGAGGCTTGGGAGGGTGGCCTCTGTTTCCACATCTGTGAAATGGGCACAGGCCTGGCACCCCTCACAGCGCTGTACGGGAGCACATGCGGCCAGCAGGTGCGCACACACGCTTGCGCTGTTCCTTCCCTTTCCCTGCAAAAGGCGGCCGGGAGCAGCGCGCACCGCCTCACCGCTGTCTGGAGGGCGCAACTCCCTTGGGGCCGAGCTAGACAGCACGGCGGGGGCGCGCCCTGACAGTCTGGGCGCAGCTCAGTGCCCGCGTACCTGGGTCAGGTGTAGGATGTGGCCACGGGCAGGAAGTGGCCGTGGGCATCTGGCCCTACAGGTTCCTCTGCCACCCCACCCCTCCGCACCTCCTGCCCCCCGCCGCCCCACCCCCACTCCAGCCCACCTGCGCCCGCCAGGAGGGGTGCAGCCCCCAGAAGCCGAGCTGGGGCTACTGCCCTCTCCGTGCCTCCCCGGGGTCCCCCATCCCTGGAGCCCCCCACCTCCGGTTCCAGTTCTCTCTCCGCTCTCCTCGCCTTGGTTTCTAGGACAGGAAATGTCAGGGCCCCAAAGGGGCGTCCCAGGGGAGGGCAGAGAAGGAAGCGGCAGAGGCAGCCTGCCCTGCAGCCCACCCGCCCCGCGATGCCCCCGGAGCGAGGAGGGGCAGGCAGGAGGAGGGGTCCCCCTAACCAGCCTCTCTGTCCTGGATCTGAGTGAGGGGCTCGGGCCCCGTGCAGAGCCCCGGGAGCACTGGGCGAGGACGTCTGGGCGCCTAAGCAGGTGGCGCGGGCGGGCCGGGCGCCCCAGCTCGAGGGAGGAGGGCCTGAGAGCGCAGGTCCTCCCCGACACGCCCCTGTCTTAAGCGCCTGCCCCTCGCTGCTCCGGGTCACTCGGCGCCCTGCAGGAGCGGGACCGGCCGGCGACCGCGGATGGCGCAGGCGGGGCGACGCGCGCCGGCGCGGACCCCGGGAGCCCCAGGCCGCGCCCTCGCCGCCGCCGCCTGCACGCCGCGCCTCGCCCTCGCCCGCGTCGCCCGCCGCCCCGGAGCCCCCCGGGCGGCCGCAGCCCGCGCCGTCCGAGGCCTGCGCCCGGCAGCTGCTGCTGCAGGATTGGGCGCCGCTGGGCGGGGGCCTGCGCCTGCCCCCCAGCCTCTCCTGGAACGTGCTCCTGCTGCGGAGGCCGCTCTACCGCAACCTGCTGCGCGCGCCAACCCCGAAGGTGCCCGCGCCGCCCGCGCCCGCCCTCCTCCGCGCCGGCTCTCGCCGCATCGCCGCGTCCCGCTCCTTCCTTCCACTGACGTCGCCGACTCTTCTCGAGTCCCGCCTTGCCGCTGGCTCCGTTGTGCCTGTCTCTGTCATGCGTCTCTCCCCGCATCTCTGTCTCACCCCTGCATCTCTGTCTCACGTCTCTCCCTGCATCTCTGTCTCACCCCTGCATCTGTCTCACGTCTCTCCCCGCATCTCTCTGCATCTCTGTCTCACGTCTCTCCCCACATCTCTGTCTCACCCCTGCATCTCTATCTCACGTCTCTCCTCGCATCTCTTGTCTCACCCCTGCATCTCTGTCTCACGTCTCTCCCTGCATCTCTGTCTCACGTCTCTCCCCACATCTCTGTCTCACCCCTGCATCTCTGTCTCACGTCTCTCTCTGTCTCACCCCTGCATCTCTCTGTCTCACGTCTCTCCCCGCATCTCTGTCTCACCCCTGCATCTGTCTCACGTCTCTCCCCACATCTCTCTGTCTCACCCCTGCATCTCTGTCTCACGTCTCTCCCCGCATCTCTGTCTCACCCCTGCATCTGTCTCACGTCTCTCCCCACATCTCTCTGTCTCACCCCTGCATCTCTCTGTCTCACGTCTCTCCTCGCATCTCTGTCTCACCCCGGCATCTCTCTCTCCCTCTCGCCGGCCCCTGCCTGTGTTTCTGTCGGTTCCTCCGGGTCCCTCTTTCTGTCCCTCCGTCTCGTCTCACTACAACCCCCCTTGCCCCCTCCCGGCGTCGGTCCCCACCCCCCGGGACGTTCTCGCGGTTCTCTCCCCGGCCCTGACTCTCACCCCGCCTCGCCACTCTGGCCCGGGACAGGTTCCAGCCCTGCCAGGGCAGCCCTGGGGCCGGGGAGGTGGGGCCGGGGTGGTGGGGCTGGGGTGGTGGGCACGGGGTGGTGGGGCCGGGGTGGTGGGGCACGGGGTGGTGGGGCCGGGGTGTGGGCCCGGCCTGAGGGCCCCTCACCTGTGCGTTGCAGGCATCAACATTTATGAGCCAGCGCCCCCTACCGGTCCCACGCAGCGACCCCTGGAGACTCTGGGTGAGCTTGGGGAGAGGGGGGTGCAGGGCGGGGGTCAGGGGTCAGGGTGGGGGTGAGGGCGGGGGATCAGGGTGGGGGTCGGCCTCCAGGTTGGGGTGTTCCAACCCTTTGCCCCCTCCACCGGCCAGGCAATTTCCGAGGATGGCACATTAGAACTGAAATGCTCCACAAGGACCTAAGGTGAGTCGCCAGCAGGTGTGGCCTGTGTGTCACTGTGGGACCCGGTTTCCTGCTCTGTCAACACGGTTAGTCACGGGAGAGGCTGCTTGTGAAACAGGCGGCTCAGGGGCCCGCTGAGCCGGGCTGGCACATAGCAGCTGCTCAGGAAACAGCAGGCACTATTGTTACTGCTGTCATTATCGTCAGCCTCTCTCCCTGGGAGGGGAAGGGCCACCCAGGCCACCGCTTGTCCCCCACCAACCCGAGCCCTGCCTCCGCACGGCGGATGGGGCGGTGTGGCACTCAGTCACACACGCCCCGGTTTGGATCCTGGTTCTGCCACTTCTTTGTGGCTTGACCTTGGGCGAGTCTCCATTGTCTTTTTTTCTTTCTTTCCTTCAAAATATTCAGGGAGTGCCCTTGTTTTAGGGGGGTCACATAGATCATTTTTGTAATGCTTGCGTCCTGGCTGTGGGTGTGCCTGTCACCCAGATAGTGACATGGTTGGGTTATTCCCCTTCCCCCTCTCTCCTCCCCCCTCCCTTGCTTTCCACTGAGTTTTACTTCCCCGAGTCTCCATCTCGGGCCTCAGTTTCCTCATCTGTAACATGGGGTTCAGAACGCATCACCCGCAGACTGTAGAGTGCTGGCGGCCCCTGTTGTGGGGGGCTCTTGCTATTACTGAGAGCACTAAGACCAGGGCTCCCTGCTCCCCGGAGCCACGCCGACCCCGGGGACCCCCAAAGATCCGGCGGATTCGAACCCCCTTCCCCACCCCACTCGCAGCTGGACGGTGAAGCAGCAGTGCGTGGACCTTCTGGCCGAGGGCCTGTGGGAGGAGCTGCTGGATGACGAGCAGCCGGACATCACGGTCATGGACTGGTGCGTGCCCCGCCCCGCCGGCTCGGCCCCTCCGTCACGCAGTGCTCCCCAGAGCACCAGCCCTGCCCCGTGCTCCCCGAAGCCCCCAGCTCCTCCCCGAGACCCTCCTGGTGCTGCAGGGGCCAGCTCTGCCCCCCACTCCGGCCCTCCCCTCTGGGTCTTTCCGATTTTGAGATGTGCCAGGTCTCTTACACCTTTGGGGTTTGCTCAGACTGTTCCTTTGCCCTTGGATGCTGGAGTCATTTACACATGGCTCCTCCTCCAGGAAGCCTTCCCTGACTGCCCCCTGCTGGGTCGGGTGCATTCGCTCCAGTGCCCTGTGCCCCCTCCTCCCCCAACCTCTCTCCCTGTGTCCCCCCCCCCATTCTGGCCCTGGCCATTTCTGGCTGTCACTGCAAGGTGACATGTCTCCCTCCCTCACTGGCCTATGAATCCCATGAGGGCTGGGGCTCTCCTGGTCACCTGGTCACTGCCGTGTGGCCAGCACCACCCAGCCCAGGGCTGTGCACACAGTGGTGCCAGTGAGTGTCTGTGGAATGGGGCATGTGGCCAGAGGTTGGGGCTGGGTTGCTGAGACCGCGGTGGCGACTTGAGGCCTGGACCCCACCTCCAGGTTCGAGGACAGCCGGCTTGACGCGTGCGTCTACGAGCTGCACGTGTGGCTGCTGGCAGCCGACCGCCGCTCGGTCATCGCGCAGCACCACGCGGCGCCGCGGACCACCGGGAGAGGCGCCCCAGGCTGCTGGGTGCAGGTGAGACTCTGTCCCAGCCCCCACCCCCAGATGTGTGCTCGCCTCCCAGGACCTCGGGGTGGGGGGCAGGTTGAGGGTCCCCAATAAGGACCCTCTCCCGAACCCCGGTGCCACCCAGGTGTCCCACGTGTTCCGCCATTACGGCCCTGGCGTGCGCTTCGTCCACTTCCTGCACAAGAGCAAGAACCGCATGGTGCCCGGCGGCCTGCAGAGGACAAGGGTGACCGACTCCTCCGTGTCCGTGCAGCTCAGGGAGTGACAGGCCGAGCCTGTGCCTGTCGCGACCCCACAGCACCGCCCGACCTGAGCTCCGCACCACCTGCTCCGCTCGGCCCTCCCGCCACCTCCTCACCCCCATCCCGCCCGGCCCTGGCTTCTCATCTTCACGTCCTTGAGCGTCCGACTCGGGCCATCTCCCCTGCACTCCCGAGCCCCACGAGGGCTAGGGCCGCCCCTTGCAAATCCGGTGCTCGGCACACAGTAGGAGCTCAGGAAATCTCTGCTGAGCGAAGGAATAAATACACGTGCCCGAGGATGCTGAGCGCCACCCGGTTTCTGCTCCATAGAACTTGGCTCGGTTCCTTTCCCGCCCGCACACCCTCTAGCCTTGACCTCCAGCACCTTTAAAACCTGCGCACCTTTGGCCCAACCTTGACCTCTGATCTCCCCACACATCCCCAGGGGACGGCTCTCCACTGAGCTCTCCCCATCGCTCTGGACTCACAGTCTCCCCAACTCCCCTCCTCCCTCCAGCTGCTCCCAGTTGTCATTCCCCCAGAGCTGTCCCCACACCTCTGCTCCCAGGACCCTTCGTGTCTCTTCTCCAGTGCCCCTGAACCCAGGTATCCATCAAGGTCCCCCACCTGTGGACGTGGTGGGGACACACATATTGCAACCGGAACAGAAAAATGCAAATCTGAACTAAAGTGACCTCCCTGTGTGGCGGAGGGGGTGGTTGAAGGTATTTGACACCTGCGTGAGTCCTGGGCTGCAGCCGGATCACTCTAGGGTCCCTGGCCCTCCCCTGGGCCACAGTCCTACAAGGCCCACCACTGTCCCATGCAGGAATCAGAGGGCGTCTGGAGGCCCTTGGGGACACTAGGATAGCTCAGGGAAGGGTTGCAACACTGAGCAGTCAGCCAGCCGTCCCACACGTGTCACACGTCTGTCCTTCTGTGGAGGCGTGTCTCGTGCGCACCTATAACCCCTTCAGAATCTACGGTGTGTCCCCATCCATGGCACTGTCCCAGGTATGGGCTCACCCAGGCCTGCTCTGTCCCCCATTCCACCCGGTTCTGGGTGGACTTGGGTCCCAAGCACAAGCAGATGGCAGACGGGGACAACTTCACAAGGGCTGTATTTCAGGGAAGGTGGTGGGGCAGGCGGACAGCTACTCCTCTTGGGTCTTGGGGCCTGCAGCGGAGCCCAGGGACGGGCCAGGTGAGGGGCTCAGCAGGTGGCAGGTGGCAGGTGAGGGAACTCCAAGGTCTCAGGAACACCTGCAGCATGACAAAAACTTCCCATCAGGGGATGCCAAGAGCTCGGAGACCCAGGTGTGGTGGATTCTAGAAGCCCAAGTCTAGGCGGAAGGCTGGGGGATCTCAAACTGAGGCTCCAAGTTCTGGAGTTGGGGGTCTTAGCCTGGGAGAGTTTGGGGCTTGGAGCTCTTGGGGGACAGGGACACCTGGGATGGGTTTTGGGGGGTACCATGGCTGGATCTGGGGGCCCAGGGCGTGTGAGCTTGGATATGGGTGCAGGGTGGGCTCGGGGCCCTGCAGGCTTGGGTCTGGGGGCGGTGGGACTGGTTTTAGAGGCTGATCTGGGGGTCCAGGTGGGCGGGGAACATGGGGCCCAGGCTGGTCCTAGAATTGAGTCTGGGGTCTTGAGTTCTGGGTCAGTTGGAGAGTCTGGGGAGCCCAGAGCCCGCGCTGCGAGGCGGGAGGGGCAGGGGGCTGCGGGCGGGCTGGGGCTGGCGCGGGGGGCGCGGAGGAGGAGGCGCTGGCTTGGGCGCGGGCTCCGAGCGGGGCCTCCGGGGCCGGGGGGCGAGCGGATGCTCGGCCGGGCGGGGGCACCTGCAGTAGAGCGCGGAGATGGCGTTGGACCAGTCCCGGAAGACGCCGAGGCGGTACTCCTCCAGGCGCGGGTAGGCGCCGCCCGAGAACTTGCGCGTCTTGCCGGCCTTGCCGCGGAGGGACCACACGGTGAGCTCGCAGCGCGGGGCCACCACGAGCGAGGACGCGGTGTTGGCCCAGTCGGAGGGCAGGTAGGGCAGGTCGGCGCCCGGCTCCAGCGACAGCTCGGCGCCCGCACAACAGTTCTCGTAGTAGGGGTCGCTCTTGTCGTACAGCTTGGCGCACGTGCGCGTCCCGTCCTCCCTCTTGAGGTCGGCGGGCGCGGGGCAGGCGCCCAGGGCGCAGGGCACGGCCGCCAGGGCCAGGGCCAGCAGCAGCGGCCACCGCGGGGACATGGTGACACTGCTGGGCCGCGCCCCCGCGCACTTTTAAGCGCTCGTCCCGTGGGAAGGAAGAAGCTGCGCGATAAGGACCCCGGACCGGGAGGGGAGGGCGTCCCCTCCCCCGGGAGCCGGGCGACCTGCCTAACACGAGCCGGAAACCGCAACCAGGGAGCACAAGGTGGACGAGTCTGCACAAAACTTAGCTCCTGGCCCGGGCGCGGTGGCTCACGCCTGTCATCCCAGCACCAGGGGAGGCCGGGAGGCAGGAGGATCGCTTGAGCCCAGGAGTTTGAGACCAGCCTGAGCAAGAGCAAAACCCATCTCTACTAAAAATAGAAAGAAATTGGCTGGACAACTAAAAATATATAGAAATAAAAAAATTAGCCGGGCATGGTGGCGCATGCCTGTAGTCCCAGCTACTCGGGAGGCTGAGCCAGGAGGATCGCTTGAGCCCAGGAGTTGGAGGTTGCTGTGAGCTAGGCTGATGCCACGGGACTCTGGCTGGGCAACAAAGTGAGACTGTCTCAAAAAAAACCCAAACAAACGTTATGAACAATCCATATTATTGTTATTTGTGAATGTAATATAAACACTTAATGTATAATATTGCATACATACAATAGCATAAATGCAAATATCTAAAGCGTGAAATAGTGCCAGGGACTCAGTAAACGGAAGCTGTTATGACACCAGATTCCGAGACCCTGGCCTTTGCTCTTATTTCTCCTTTGCTTTCATGACCCCCATGGAATCTAATCTCCAGCTGCTAACTTCCCAGAGGGCCTCCTTGACCCTGGGGACACAGAGCCCCCCCCCCTGTACCGCAGGGAACATAGCAGTGGATACACGAATGTAGACACCTGCTTAACATATAGTCCTGGAGTAGCAGTGACACGCAGCCCTGTCCCCCGACGGGACCACACAGCTGCCATCACAGACAAGCTCCCTGTCCTCCACCACTCCTGCCCCCAAACCCACGAAATCCCACACATCTGACATGCTCATGAGAGCACATGTGTGACACATACGTGTGACACACAGATACTTACGCATGCACAGCATGCTCACCTGGAAATAATTTCCTCACTGTTATTTATTTATTTGTTTGTTTTTGAGACAACAGTCTCACTCTGTTGCCCTGGCTACAGTGTCGTGCCTTCAGCCTAGCTCACAGCAACCTCAAACTCCTGGGCTCAAGCGATCCTCCTGCCTCAGCCTCCCCAGTAGCTGGGACTACATGCATGCACCACCATGCCTGGCTAATTTTTTTTTTCTACATATTTTTAGTTGGCCAATTAATTTCTTCCTATTTTTAATAGAGACGGCATCTCGCTCTTGCTCAGGCTGGTTTCGAACTCTTGACCTTGAACGATCCACCTGCCTAAGCCTCCCAGAGTGCTAGGATGACAGCCATGAGCCACCAGGCTGGCCCCTCACTGTTTATTAACACAAGCTAGACACACAGTAGAAAAATAAACATCTCGTTATCACATCGTTTTTTTTCTTTTCTTTTCACTCTCTCTCTCTTTTTATTAAGACTGGTTGCTTCAACACATACTTTTTTTTAAATGGGAGAATGTCCTGCCCTCGAGGAACCCATGTACCCTTGAGAGAGTCAGATGATAAATCACTAATCCGAACACAACGTGAAAAGAGCTCTAACAGGGGCATCGCAAAGGACTCTGGGAATGCAGTGGGAAGAATGACAGATTTGTTTGTTTTTTAATACTCATGGATATATTTTGATTTGTTTAATAGGAAATCTTTTCGGATCTCACAACCTTGATTCGACATTTTTCAGCAGATCATAAAAAAGGAGACGGCCGCACACATGCAATTGCCACTAGAAAAAAAAATAAAGTGTTTGTCTCTATCAGGTGGTACCCAAACGTAAACATTAGAGGTGGCACATAATGTAAATGAAAATGCTAAGTGTGTCGCGTAAGGACAGGAATGTATTCAGATCACCACTTAAGTTCACAGTCAGAACTCATTACAATCCTGTAACGATGTGTCGCCGAGTGGGATTATTATTCTTAAGGGACAGTATAGCCCCAAAGCAGCCATAACTGGGTGGTTTGGAAGCCATGGTTCTCAAAGTGTGCTCCCTGGGCCAACAGCACCAGCAGCCTCTAGAGGAACTTGCTAGAAGTTCAGATTCTCAGCCCCACCCCAACCGCACTGAACCAGAAACTCCAGGGGTGGTCCCCAATAGTGACAGTTTAACAAGCCCTCCTGCTGCCTCTGCTTAGGGTTAGGGCTTAGGTCTAATCCTTCATGCATCACTGGTGGTTTATTACATCTAGAATTTTCTGTATTGATACTTCGATTTGCTCAGATCCTTTCAAAATATAACCCGTGTATACACTCTGGTTTCTCTTCAAATCGTATAAATCTTTCGCCTTTTACAAAATATAACCCGTGTGATTTTCCTGATTACAAAAACATTCCATTTAGCAATTAGAAAAAGGAACATCCTTGGCGGGCGGCGGTGGTCCCTCTGTATCCTAGCACTCTGGCCAGGGCCGAGGCGGGCGGATTGCCAGGTCAGAAGTTCGAACCAAGCCTCGCAAGAGCGAGACCCGTCTCTACTCATACAACTGAAAGAAATTATTGGCCCCACTAGTATCTCCCCTAGACACAAACTCCGAGTTCTCTAGAAATATGTCCTACCGAACACAAATCAGCCCGGCACGCCGCTGGTCGCGCGCTGCCTGCTCAGTCCGAGCTACCCTCGCGACCTCTGAGCAGACACCCATCCGCTTGCGCCCCACGCGAGTCGTGACCGGCGTGCTGGGCCCTACCAGCTGAACCACAGCACTCACTTCAGCCTGCGGCGACCCGCACGGCGTCGACACTTTCGCCTCAACAAAAACACAAACAAACACAACACACAAAACAAGCGCACCGGTCGCGGTGGCTCACACCTGTAATCCTAGCTCTCGTGGGAGGCCGAGGCGGGCCGGTATTGCTCGAGGTCAGAGTTCTAAACTAAGCCTGAGCAAGAGCGAGACCCCGCTCTACTATAAATAGAAATTAATTGGCACCTAAATATTCAGTAGAAAAAATTGCCGGCGCGTGGGTGGTCACATGGCCTGTAGTCAAGCTAACTCGGAGACGCTGAGGCAGCGAGGATCACCTCGAGCCCAGAGTTTGCGAGTTGTGGCTGTGAGCTAGGCTCGACCTATCCGCGCCTTCACACTAGCCTGGGCAAGCAAAGTCGACACTTCTGATCCTCAAAAAAAAAAAAAAAAAGAAAAGAAAAAGAAAGGAACATCGTCTTGGGCGTCCAGGTGGCGCTCCCTAATACAGCTACACTGGAACCAAATGACAGGAGTGGAACTTTGCAATTTTTCACACAGACAAGAGACAGCCATTGGTCCATCTCCACTTCAGGGCAACTAGGCTGATGTCATCTTTCTCC